ATGTGTGTGTGTGTATGTGTATGTGTATGTGTATACTGAAATGTATATATATGTATATGTTTCAGTATTTATGTTTGATTCTATTAATGTGACATTCCTGTGTCCGTATTCCTGTGTCCGTGTTTACTGGTGGCCAATGTAGTCCTCAGGGACGCGATGTGTTTCTAAAGCAAAGTAGAAGCGTCCCGTAAAGCGTTGCATATATATACCCGTAAACATCTTGTAACGATATAAAACATATGTGGATGTATAGGCATGTCCCTTTTATGTAGAGTTCAGTTAAATCGTTAAACCTAAACGTCATGTAGCTATTTGAAGTTAGATGTGGGTATATATGCATGCCACGTTTACCAGCATGTATATACTTGTGGCAATCGGGGTCACTTTGTTGAGTGTATATCACGTGATGCTGCCCAATGTGTAAATTGTCTGGCCACTAAACGTTTTCAACGCTTTCACAATTATATATGTACAATTGCTATTCAAAATCATAATCAATGTCACGATTTTACTATGGTCGACGATCACTGCAGACCCGTACCACACAAAGTTGGTATTTCAATCGGTTTCAACCGAATTGATATCCTGTATGTATGCAACGTATATATGCAACAAATAACGTGTATATATGCAACGTATATATGCAACAATTAGCTTGTACATATGCAACGTATATATGCAACAAATAGCGTGTACATATGCCACGTATATATGCAACAATTAGCTTGTACATATGCAACGTATATATGCAACAAATAGCGAGTGTGTATGCAACGTATATATGCAACAATTAGCATGTACATATGCAACGTACATATGCAACAAATAGCGTGTATATATGCAACGTATATATGCAACAATTAGCTTGTACATATGCAACGTATATGTGCGACAAATAGCGTGTATATATGCAACGTATATATGCAACAATTAGCTTGTACATATGTAACGTATATATGCAACAAATAGCGTGTGTGTATGCAACGAATATATGCAACAATTAGCTTGTACATATGCAACGTATATATGCAACAAATAACGTGTACATATGCAATGAATAACGGAAATATGAAATTAATAGCGTGAATAGATAACTGATAACGTGAATATAACTAAAAGCGTGAATATAAGATTAATAACGTATATAGTTGCGTTCATCTACACTTCTACAGGTAAGCAGGCCTGTTGGTGACCCTGCTATAGTCAGCGCTCTGAGGAGCGTCTCAGCAAGGGCGGCCACAAATAAGAACAGCACATTGACATCTACAACAGAGAGACGGTGCACCCAAGAAGAGCAAGAAAGGGACTGTAGTGCACCTGTAGATTGGTGCGATGAGACTGTTGAACCGTGCACCCGTATAGAGAAAGAAAGGGACTGTAGTGCACCTGTTTATGAGGGCGCTAGGGCTGGGCAAAAGTCCACATATCTAGAGCAAGAAGGGGACAGTAGCGCGACAGAAGAGGGGTACGGTGATTGTGAGTTGCCACTACCACCAACGCCACCAGGTGTGCCGTGTACATGCGGATGTTCAATGTGTCTATATGGATATCACATGTGTAGGTATACTCATGCAGATATGCATATATGTAGGAATTAATATGTAGATAGAAATACGTTTAGATATAATAGAATAGGTATGTATATGTTGTAGCAGACCATAGTATTACTGTAACCTACATAGGCCTATTGAAAGGCAATAAGTACCATACACTCACTTATTTATTCACCTGTATTACATTGTTTTATATTTTATTCAGAAGCAGACCATACTATTACTAATACCTACATAGGCCTATTGAAAGGAAATAATTACCATACATTCATTTATTAATAGGCTGTATTGACTTATTTCATATTCTATTCAGAAGCAGATAATAGCGATTCGGATGCATACATGGATCTTCCCCCGCCCGCGGATGCCATTGTCTCACCGCCAACTCTATCGGATGCTGGCAGCGACAATGAGGTAAGCTTATCTACCTTCATATACATCCATAGAGGTGTGTGTACTATTATGTACAATATTGTACTCAAGTATATATATATATATATGTGTGTGTGTGTGCGTGTACACGTTCAAGTGTGTTCAAGTGTGTGCAAGTGTGCATATGTATATAGGCGCTTATTTTTGTTACAAATACAGATAGGTACATACTTTTTGCCGAGAATCAACTTGTTCATCTCTCTATAATCAACTAATCAGAATGAGCAGAGTGAATGCGCCGCTGATTTTGACTGGCCGACACCGCCGAAAGCAAGTTTCAGCGCGACATCACGATTACTGGAACTCGGCAAGGACTACGAAGCACCACCCATCTCAGGATTTGGCTCGAAAGCCAGCTAAGATTGTAGATTCCTCGCAGATCTATGGACAACGCTCATTATGTAGTAACTAGTGCACAAGTAACAAGTATAGATTACCTCGAACCAACAGAAAGACTATGGAAGAGCATGAAGTTAATATTTATTCATGCGATTCACTGTTTAATAAACAACCAATGTAGTACACTCGATTTACAACTGTGCGTAATGTACTTATACTTCGACATACATACATATTTATATATATATATATATATATATATATATAGTATATATATATATATATATATGTATATATATGTATACTATATTTGTATATGTATATTATATATATATATATATTTGTATATGTATATATATATAAATCAATATGATCAACAATAACATTTACATATATAATATAGTATTACATATACAATATAGTAATACATATACTTATACTTGTACACTTATAATAATACATGCATTTACATAAACTTATAGTATTACACATACACATTTCTAGTACATTTTATAATTATACTTATACTTATAATGAAGACATAAAAATCACAGGAGATGTATATTAACTGTAAAATGTGGCCGAAGATACCTATTGGATCATAACATAAAATAATGATCGAAAAATCGAGGCTGCGATGAAGATGCATGGCTGTATATATAAGCCAGCCACACAGTGCGAATGCAAGCATCGATTCGCAGTCTATTCCGAGACCCCACATTTGACGATCCATCCCACCTCGCCCTACAATATCAGTTTCTAGTCTCGAAAAGTTCTCAATAAAAACGACGGGCCCGGGCTTCGGACAGAAGGCCCAGGCACCGTCTGTCCGGCACCGCTCGCACTACCAAGTACGGGGGATAGCGGCGCTGGACTTAGCGCATACATCGAGTGTTCATGTTTTATTATACTTATACTTATACTTCCGATACTTATTAGATACAACATCTCTAAACCCAATGGACATTCTAATATTCAAGATATTGATGTATTTTTTTTGAAAGCAACCAAAATAGTATGAATTTGGTTTTCGGTTCTTTTGTTTGTGTTTTGTCATCTCATACATATGTCTAGCCTTCGGAAAATTGAACATCTTTCCTAAAATTTCAGAAGGCTATGAAGTTTTGCTGAAAACCAATTTTGGGGAATTTTTCTAATAAACCCTCAACCCTAAATCCAAAAATATAAAATAACTAATATTTATGCATGGACTTTTAATTCGACCGATTTAATTTTGTATTTTTGGACACAGCCTTTTTTGTATAAAAAACAACAACAACAAAAATGAAAAAGATCCAAAGTCAAAAAGTCAAAAGGCAAAAGCCAAGAAGTCCTTTTCAAAAAAAAAGTATTTTTGTTATTAATATTGTTTTAACGAAAATAGTCTATACATTTAAAAAAAATTGCATTTATTACATACTTTACAGTTGTTTAAAAAATATATAAAAAATAGTCTTTGTATAAAATATTATATGTAAATATGTACAATTGTACATACGTGCATAGAAAATGTCTATACATGATGAAAAAAAATTGACAATCTAAACTACATGCGTTTGATTAGCTTATATCTGCATATCTTTCACACGGAGTCCACTCGTCAAAAGTCTTGTTGCGCTGGTAACCATTGAACAAATAACAGTAATTGGGCTGTACTGGCCACACAAACAAAGTCACAACTCACATCAACGAGTGAAAGCCAAAGAGTCAAGAAGACTGTCAGTGGAAAATATTTATTTAAAAAAACAAGTAGCAGGGCTGCCTCTACCAGCCGCCAGGCCCGGCCACAGGGCAGCACCACAGTGCACAGAGGCACAGTCGCACAGAGCCACACACCTTTTTGGTTTTTCTAAAAAGACAAGAAGTTCTTGTCTCCATTTTGTTAAAAAATTATCAACACTCGTGAAATTGGATTCGTGGAGTCGTGGACAGGGATGTATTTATGACCAACAATTTATTTTTTAAAAACAATTGAGTCTATGACAATTGACAACTGACAAGATCAATCCATACTTCCATGAGTTCCTACATAATATCTTCCTGGTTCTCGAATCCCGACTCACCAGCCAGCAGAGAGCGTTCCACTTCCCCAGCACTGGCAGGGCCAGCCTGCCAGACTCACAGCCAACAGTGCCAGAGTCCAGAGTCCAGACTGCCAGTCTGCCAAAAGTTGTGAGTTGGACTTCAGTCACTTCACACAAGAAGTATTTACATTTTTGATTTTACATACATATGAGTCTATGACCAGTTTTCAAAGTTCCAGAGGGTCATGAATGATTTCAGGGGATACTTCATTGGTCCGGCAGCATACCATTGGTGTAATACATCCAGTGAAAGTTGCTGAAACAAACAGAAGTCAGAAATGTGGTTGCTTGAAATTCAGAAATAATTAGATCCAACGTATTTACTACACTTTTTTTTCTCAAAAATTCAGACTGACGACAGTAGTACAGTACGGCGTAAATATGTAGTAAACTGTAAATACTTTCGCTTCACGCTTGACGCCGACAACCGTTATTTAAATACAGGTATTTTATTTAATTTTATTGCAATTGTTATGTATTTACTTTGTCAGAACTCAGAACTGACCTATTTGTACATACTCTTCCCAATCAGTATTCATTGTTTTATTCACCGTATAGACTACGGTATACATTATTATTTTAAAAATTACCTCGTGGTCCTTCATGAAAACACAAAATTCACAAAGATGATCTCCCAATTTATATCTGTGCGATCTTGGTTTCAGCCTTGTATCTCATAGTTGTGTTCGAAACCTGCTCAGGCTCTGATGTGCGCGAGTAATTGAATGAATGCAAATACAAATAGTTGCATTTTTTTTAATAGGTTTAATCATAGCCTTCTTGAGTAATTGAGAAGGCTATGGTTTAATAAAAGAACAACAACGTTGTCAATAAATTCGATATTCAGAACTATAATTTAGGTTATAAAAGTGTCGCTTTTGCATCCGTCATATGTACTTTTAAAATAGAACTTCGAAATAAGAACATCTAAGAAAATTAACAGAATGAAAGTTTTACAGTACGCTACCCTTGCTACCGCCGCTCTGGTCAATTCAGTAATTGGAAAATCGGTCCGCGACACATGTAACGGCACGCTTAAGACAAAGTTGGTCGACTTAGCAACCGAATCAGCTGTTCTGCAAACGCTTGTGGCGTCCGTGTCGGAGGCGGATCTCCTAGACCTGCTAGCAGGCTCTGTAGACTACACAATATTTGCCCCAACCGACGATGCCTTCCAGGCGCTGGACGAGACATTGATAATGTCAGACATGTCGCTAGTAGATGTGGTTGAAAACAAGGAACTATTGACTAATATACTAGCACTTCATTTTGTGCCCTTGGAGTATTCGTCAGATGAGCTCAAGGAGGGTCAGCAGCTAGAATCCGTCGGAGGACCACTTACGATCAGTTTATTGGATGGCGGATCTGTGACTGGCCCCACTAACACGGCCAACTTCATAGCACTTGACCTTGTTGCTTGCAATGGTGTTGTGCACGTCATCGATACCGTGTTGCTGCCTGCTACGGATGGTATGACCATATCTGTGACAGAAACGGAGGGAGATATATATTCAGATGATGATGATGATGGTGATGATGTTGTTGTAGCACAACCGAATCCTAACCCTGCGACCGACGTTGATGGTGATGAACAACAGGTGCCCGTGACCAATGTGGATGGTGACGATGATAACGATGATGACGTGGCGCAACAGGTACCCAACACAAACGTGGGTGATGATGATGATGATGATGATGGTGACGTCGTGGCCCAAGTACCAACCACAAACAACGTGGTTGATGATGATGATGGTGATGATGATGACGCCGTGGCCCAACAAGTACCAACCACAAACAACGTGGTTGGTGATGATGATGATGATGATGATGACGTCGTAGCCCAACAAGTACCAACCACAAACAACGTGGGTGATGATGATGATGATGATAACGTCGTGGCCCAGCAAGTACCAACCACAAACAATGTGGGTGATGATGATGATGACGATGATGATGATAATGCCGTGACGCAGCAAGTACCAACGGTCAACGTAGGTGATGATGATGATAATGATACGGACCTTGGTGTTGAAGTCGGTGGTGATTAAATTTTAGGAAGTATTAGACTTTTAATTCGGCCGACAACCCATTTTATGGAATACAGTCGAGATCTCGAACAAAATCAATAAAGTAAAGTTAATCCGAATTGCACATTAAGTATAGTTCATACGAGTCATGCAACGCCTTCTGGAAAAGTAACAAAAACCTGTGTAATCATTTATCTGGATACTCAATTTGCCACAGTGTATATGCATGAATTCACAACCTTGAGTATTTCACAAATGCGTTCGATTTCGACGATAGGTAGTATCAGGAACAATGATGCACAAGCCAGAACAACCCCGAAGTCTGAATGGGAAACATTGTCAAAGACATATGTGAAGCGGCGTATAAGTCATGTATCGTTGAGATACTTTTGATTCTTTTGTGATGAGTTGCGCTTCTTGCCTTAAGTTGGTGTCCCTTTGAGTGTATAAAAACATCCACGAAATATTTGTGAGCGTGGTAAAATTTTATTTTATGACCTTTACTTGAACAGTACAAAAACAATATGTTGACAAAAGAAAGGCCCGTACGGGTGTATAGATTGACATGCAATCTGTCCTTTTCTTGCTTGTAAGCTAAATGTCAATGGCTCAGTTGTGTTGTTCCTTGTGCGGAAAGTATACACTGCGACCACCGGCCACAATTGACACGCCACACCAATAGCGAGCACGAAAAATTGATTAGTATAAAAGTATTACATTTGTAATTTCGATATGCTCGAGGGATCATGTAATGTACGCAGTACATATATCCGTGAAATACGGTATAAAATCACCAAGACTATATTAAAAAGAACATAACCATAGTAACATAGTAGTGATTGTTGAGATGCCATCAGATTAGATGGCGTTTGTTGATAATGTATATACAAATCCAAATGCTGTGTCTGAACAGATACAACAGTCCAACGTCTTTAGATAAATGATTATTGTCGTTGACCCCTCGTCCGCCGACATACGAAACATGACAAAAAAATAGACATATGCAGCTCGTTTCCAGGTTAAAGACTCATCAAATTCGAAAAAGAAATCCTCTAATTCTTGTAATAATTTCAAAGTTTCTGATAGACCCCCTCACAAACAAACAATTGGTTAATGCACAAACAAACATACTACATACTAATACGGAAATATATATATAAC